AAGTCTTTGTAATTCCTAGATGGCCAGCCAGCTGATGATCATGGGCCAAGCACAAAACATGCTGACGATAAGGAGAAGGAACGACAACTTGGTATACAACATTCCAGTCTGAATCTTGTTCATTACTAGAACACCACTTTCTCATCAATAAATCGTTGTCCATAAAATAGGCAACTAGCTTATCCTTAGCCACATCCAAGGAGACAATAGAATTAAAAGGAGTGGTGAGAGATTTATCCACCTTCTGCGTAGCACTAATTTCCTCTCGAGACACAGGTAACTTTGAAATATCTGCATCAGACATTTTTCCACTAGCACCCTCTGGATTAAAAATTATTTTTCTTCGCAGATGAAAGAACCGTATCTAGCGATGCATCACCAGACAAAAGTGGAAGCATGAATGAATTAGACAAATCATCCACCTCACCCACCTTGCGCGACTGAGCGCGAGTAACGGCGCATGCGGGAAAAACATCGGAGTAAGATTCAGACAAAACCTCAGACTGACAAAATGTACCTGGCTTATCAAGCACCTCTAACACAGGTATTACCTTTCCTCCTGCCAGGTAATTTCCAAGGATAAAGTCGACGCCTTTCACGGGAAGTGAGGAACAAACAGCCACTCACAAAACCTGTATATAACTCACTCTGCAAATGTAACTGATGCAACGGTAACTTAACGCAACCCATCCCAATGCCTTGCACTATCACACTGGAGCCACAAAAAGTATTATCAGACAACTGTACTTTATCTGCTAAAATAAAGGACTGCATGGCACCAGTGTCTCGAAGCATTCTTATTTCTTTCTGGTCCTCATGATTAGCAGTTAAAGAGATTAACCCCTTAAGAATAAAAGGTTTATAACTCTCCTCAACTTTTTCCTCAAGAGGTAAATTTTCAGTCGCGTTAAGAATTTTCACAAACCCAACGCCTTTAGGTGGTGGCTGCTGCTTACGCTTTAAAGCTATGCAATCCGCGATCACATGCCCTTTTTTATGACAATAAAAACATTCATGATCTTCTTTATTATTAAACGGGCTAGATTTAGAATGCGAAATTTGCGACTGAAAAGGAAAGGCTTGTGACTTTTCCGGGCGGACAGAGACAAAGACATTCTTATGGGTTAGAACAAATTCATCTGCCAGTACCGCTGCATGAGACAATGAAGTGACTTTCTGTTCATTAAGGTAAACCACAACTCGTTCAGGTAAACATCCCTTGAACTCCTCTAACAGAATAAGCTCTCGTAAGGAATCAAAATCATTAACTTTACTGGCTGTACACCACTTATCAAATAATATTCCCTTCTCTCGTGCGAACTCGACGAAAGTTTGGGCAGCGCCCTTTTTATGCCCCCTGAAACGCTGCCTATATGCCTCAGGAACTAACTCGTATGCACGAAGAATAGCAGATTTTACAGACTCATATTTCAAACTCTCCTCTAGTGACAATGTAGAGCTAACCTCTTGTGCTTTACCAAACAACCTACACTGCAAAAGTAAAGGCCAGACCTCTTTTGGCCATCGAAGTGAGGAGGAAATACGTTCGAACGCACTGAAGTAAGAATCTACTTCTGTTTCTCTAAATTGAGGAACTAATACAATGTGCTTACTCGCGTCAAATGTATCCTGGGACACATCAGCCAGCGGAGGACTCCGAGAGACTTGAACTGGGTTCGCCTGCACAGCTGAGCCAGAAGTAACCTTCGCCTCCTCTAACTCAAGCTCCCGCAGCCTCACCTCTATTTCAAGCTTGCGCACTTCCAAACGCAAGTCTAATTCAGCTTGACGTGCGTGGGCTTTCTCTTGCGCCTCATAGTGCAACCGGGCCAAACGGACCTTCAGTCGCGCACCCTCTCGTGAACCAGTAGAACCTGGAGAGAACGGATCAAACGGTGGCAAGCCGGCCTTGGCCTCAGCCTCAACCTCCACCTCGGATCCAGCTCTACCACTCCGTTTATCCTCGTCATCCACAGAAGTGAGACGAGCCACAGCAATGTCACCAATACTAACATTTCCGCTAGCCACATCATCCGCAACATTTGACATAAAAAGCACATTTAGCTCACTCAAACGCTGTAACGCTCTACTTTTTTATCTCTTTCTTTAGGGCATGTCTACTCACGACAATCTGATAATGGTCTGCTATCTGCAACAAATCTTGCTTTCTGCACAAATTAATCTGCTCTAATGATGGACTAATAACAAAATTCTGTAAACTAAACACTTCCATAATATATAACCAAAAACCAAGCGTAACAAACGCGCTCCTTAACGCAACCTAATGTAACACACCCGTTGCCACCAGCACACACAAATCATCACAACAGAAAACCATTTGAGATTAGATCTCGGACGAGCCCCCATTAAATGTTACGACCTCTTGTTTTTAAGTCTAGTTTAAGAGGGGTAACATTTGTAGTTGTGATGGTTGTGACATTGGTGGTGGCAAAAGAGAATAGTGCAACACGAAAACTGCCAAGGAAGGTGATTTATTTACAAGTTTAAAAGAAGAAAAAAGAAAAACATCAAGTAACAATAATAATAATAATAATAATAATAATAAACAAATACCAAGATAACAAATAAAGAGAAAACTATAGTTTCACAATATTTACAACCCAAAAATGAAATAACCCCCACAAGGGAAAAACGGACGCAAGCGGCGCCAAAGAAAAGAACAGAAAATAACAAAACCAATCTAACTTAAGTTGCCAAATCTAACCTACTAACAAAAGAAAAGAAAACAGGGAAAAAAACAAGTCTTCTGCGTTTTCACGCCCTAACTAACCTGCTCCAAACTCACCAAAGCAAAAAGTACAAAAAGTGGCACTCACTTCTATACTAGTGTTTCTAATACATCAGAGTCACTACATGTTGCTACATGTATGTCACGTGACATACTACCTGGTCCAGTTTTCCCCAGGGGCAAGGAGAACATTGTTCTGCGTATATTACGAAGGCAGTAAACAATGAAATACAAAATAGAAAACTTAAAGAAAAGATCAAGAGGACAACTCAAAACTGTAACAGAAGAACAACACCACAAAAGAAACAAACAAAATGCAAATGCACAAACAGAGAAGCAAAGTCTGCTCCGCATTCATTCAGTCATCCTTTTAAACTCTGGCAGGAAACAGGATTAGCAGCGGAGATAATGACGTCACCCACGTTAACGATGACAGACGGCTTCCTGAACCAATAGCAGTCCGAGGAGGGTTGAACCTAAGAATACAACAGAGCA